CATCTGTGCTTCTGGACACTGGCCTGTGCATTGACGTCTTTTATTATTTAACATGGCATATATACAGTATATATATATATATATATATGATGGTGAATAATTGGAGAGTGAAGTATTGGAAGAAACGGTGCTCTGGGCAAGGTCTATTTTAGATTATGGGCACGCTGAATCACAGGACGGATTTAGTTATACAGCACAGTGTGCCGTGCTCTTTGAGGGCATTGTTGATGGAGGTCAGCATACTGGGATCTAATTCCAGCAGTTAGTACTGAAGCATTGCAGCAAGGAGAGAGCGTTAGTCTAACCTGGGCAATTTAAATGCTCGTCAGATGACCTGAGGTGTCCTGGGAGAGCCAGACGCAGACTGACAATATACACCAGGAGGGAGGGTTTTGATATTAAAGTCATTTTGAGCTGAGGGTGGGATATGTTTTGATTACCCCACAGCCCCAGTGGTCTTTGTGAGAGAAATAGAGTGAGAGTCCTCTGGAGGTATTAACACCCCGAAGCAAGCATACAACACTGATTTCACCACCTGTATTTCACCTCAGAAACAGTCCAGCCTTGACATAAACACAATCTCTGTCCCTTCTCCTTATCATTTTCTGTCCACTTTTCCCACCCGTTCTCTTTCTCAAGCAATCACCATTCCCACTCTGTTTTCTCATTTTCTGTCATTTCTTCTCCTAAGAAACTTGTTTGCCATTTAGCAAAGTGTTTGGTCTGACAAGACTTTATGTGAATATTATTATGCCATTATCAAATGTTTGAAATGAACTAGGACTTTAACTTAGGAATTTTACTTTTTTTTTATTATAATTTTTTTATACCTATTAATTATGTTGGGATCAGGAAGCTTTTTTTTTTAACGTTTTTTGAAAGAAGTCTCCTGTGTTCACCAAGTTTGCATTTATTTGATGAATTATACTGTACAGTACAGTAAAAAAAATAAATAATAGAACTGTTTTCTATTTTAATTAATTTGAATATGTATTTTATTCCTGTAATTGAATAAATCAGCTCTTTATTTGATTAAATGAATTGTCTTCAGTGTCACATGATTCTTCAGAAATCATTCTAATATGCTGATTCTCTGTGTTAAAAATTTATTCAAATTAATTTTCTCTTTTTTTTTTCTTTTCAGGATTTTTTAATGAATCGGAAGTTTAAATGAACAGCATTTATCTGAAATAGAAATCTTTTGTGGCATTGTAATGTCTTCATTGTCACTTTCGATCAATTTAATGTGTCCTTGCGGAATAAAATTATGAATTTCTTTATTTTTTCTTAAAAAAAAAACGTACTGACCCCAAACCTTCAAACAATAGTTTATAGAAGCATTTGGTAGCTATAAGCAAGAAACATGCGTGTATAGCTTAGCCTATGAGAAATAAATTGTGGTTTAAGGTTATAGCAGGCAAAGTTTAGACAGAGCCTCTCTCTTACGCTGTGATTGTAGAGCCATCCAGTGTTAATTAAGGTAATCTAGACCAGTCTGGTGCATGCTGTGTAAATGGAGGTTTCAAGCCAAGTCATCCTAATTTAGTGCAGATTAAACTTCCTGGCAGAATGGCAGAAAATAGTGATGCAAATAATATTGGACGAGTTTGATAATAGAAATAATTCCAATAATTGACTTCTCTAATTAAGCTCCACTTCCTTGAAGAGCATACTTAAAATAGTAGTAGATTATATTAGTCTCCCTTTAATCCTTTTTCATTTTCTTTGCCTGCTTATTTTTTGCTGTTTATTAATATTTCATCTAAAGTTCAATGCTTTCTGCTTCATTTGACGGCATAATCATTGCCCACAGACACGTCTCCCGCCCCTCTTTGTACCTCAACTTTCCCCATCCCTCCATCTCGTGGGTCAGCATATATTCATGGAAGACAGATGCACATCCACACACAAGCGCTTGGCCTCACATTATCTCTCTCGTGTCCGTCTTCACCTTTTCTCGTTCTTTAATTCACCTTGTCTGACTTCTCTTTCCTTCCCTTTAGCTTTTGCACCCCTGCGTTTTCAGTCCTTCCATTCAGAGGAGTGGGATAACTGCCCATCTCCCACGCATCTCTCTCTTTGAGTTCTCACTCACTGCCGCAATGCCAGTTTCTTAATCTCTGCCTCTCGTTCTCACTTTCGATGTTTAGTCTTTTGAGTTTTGATGTATTCATAAACCGTTAGCTAACTCCTCCTTTGCTGAATCCTTGCTGTGCTGAAACTATCCTTTTGGCACAAGTGAACAGTGTTAACCCGTTGAGCGGTACGGTCCCACATATGGGATTTTTATTTCCGTGCCCCTGGGAATACGGTCCCACATATGAGATAGGGATGGGCGTATCGATTCAAAGTATCGATACTGACGCGAGTATCGAAAGTATCGATACTCAAACAAAAAATATCGATACTAAGGTGTGTTTTATTTACCAGTGATTTTATTAATTTAACTATAT